ACCTCACGCCGTCCCCCGACAATGAGATGATGTCCATCCTAGAGCCTGCGTCCATGCAATCCGTCGGAATTTGGACATTCTGCTTTTCGCCGTTAAAAAAGTTCACTGTGGCGGTAGGGAGCGCTCACCGACCGGTCTCACGGAACTCACTCGTTCCGTTGTGCCTTACGGGCTCTCTCTCGAGCCCAACCAGCATCCGCACAGCGGCGCATGATATAGGCAGTATGTTATTACCGGCGGAGACAATCGAGACTGGAATGACCATTTCTGGCTTATTAGCCGTCGCCAGTCAGTCATACCCAACCCCGAAGTGTGGAACACCCGAGGCTCGAAATCACGGCCTGCTAGTTCGAAGGCTACGCCAGGCGTTGACTGTCTATATCATGCGCCGCTGTGCGACTGCTGGTTGGGTTCGAGAGAAAGCCCCTAAGGCAGAGCGGAACGAGTGAGTTCCGTGAGAACGATCGGTGAGCGCCCCTACCATTGTATATTCTTGCTCGAAGCCGACAGGGCAACGAACTCGTGGCTCAGTGGTTAGAGGCGGGAGCTTCTAAATAACAGGTTGCGGGAAAGAGCCCCAGGTGTTCCACACTTCAGGGTTGAGGTATGGCTGGCCGACGACGGCTAATAAGGCAGAAACGGCCATTCCAGTCTCCCTTGTCTTTGTGGTCAATAACATGCTGCCTACAGTTTGTGTTTAGCTCATCTCTGGCTCCCCATTTCGAAAGAGGTAAAGACAGCGTGCGGTATATTACTGTCGTTTCGTCTACAAGTATCCTTATGCTCAAATCTTCCTGACTGGTAGTATCTTGCGCATCTTTTGCACAATGCGAGACGTTTATCCTCTTTAAAGAACCCACCATTTCTGCTTCCAGTTGACTCAGCCACGGAAATTCTCAGCGTCCTCCCTAGACACCTGTGATATTCGCCAGTCACAGTGATTGAAACGTCTTTTGTTAACCACCATCTACATGATCGGTGGAGTTATCTTTGGTTCTTTGAGTTCGATACCTTAACTTTCTGTCCAGCTTTCAGCAATTAATAGCATCTAGTTGATTCTTATCCTTTCCTGTGTGCTACTGTAATTGATCTGGTCTTCTAATCCTTCGCACGCTCCGGCATTACTCGGAATATATTCATCTTGGTAAGTTAATGTAGTGGCGGTAGTAGTCGTAGAGCCCAGCATATGTCTTCGTCAGTTGCCTTAGTCGATCGCTTATGCTCTCATTTATCAGCTCATTTCCTACTTACGAGATATTGTTAGCGCTTACTGTCACTTTCAAACCCACGTTTGCCTTGTTTTGCTGGCGACTTCACTATTTTTCGCGTCGGTTTTGCCGCGCTTCGATACGTTCTTTTCATAGGTCAGATTTTTTCCTTAACTGCCAGAAGACACTTCCCGAAAAATTGGTTCTTTTTGACTGACTGCCAGACCATCGCTCCGTTAAGGCAACAGCATGATATCCTTCTAAGCGAGCCCAAGTTTCCATACCAATATCACGAAGAGGTACCCATAAATAGATCGGGTCATTTCACGGTCACAAACATTCCTAGAAGTTTGCGTATGCACTGTTGTGTTCGCCTGGGCGGGAAAGGCCTTTGCTGTCTATAGTTCCAGAAACATCCATACTCGCTATAACCCAGCATTGTTAGAAGCCTGCAAAAACAAATATTCTGATTCTGGTTCACGTGTTAGCCAGTCGAGGCCTTTTTGCTGCTACAGTGCGGACCTTATATTCTCTCCTAAAACACCTTTTATTTTTTAGCAAATCGAGTAAGTCTTCTGCTCAAGTCGAATGGAGAAACTCGGTGGAAATATTTCCTGTGAGTTTCGCTTCTGTCTTCTTTCCTGTTGTTGTATGCCATTCTGCAACCTTACCAGCAAAAAACGTTCCAATCCACCCCTAGACTTCATATGCTTTTCTCATCAGAGATGCTCCATGTGTCAGTGGAAAAAGGGTTTGCCTGACTCAAAGTTAGTCAGGCTCCTTTGTGGGAAGGTAGTGTGCTCTGCGGCAGACAGATGTAAAAACTACCGAGGATGATCGCCTTGGGTTTCTTGACCACATTGATGGGTAAAGCAAGGTATAAATTTGGTATCCGCCAGACAGGATGAGTATATACAGCGAGTGACTAATCTCATGAAATGTTGGCCAAAATTCTGGAATGCGTTTTCGATTAGGATGGATTCCATAGGTGGGAGTGTAATATTGATTATCATGCGGCATAATTCCATGATATTTCGAACTCGCCAGGATGTCGGCTTTTGAATGCACTTCTTTTCGAGCTTCTGTAGCAATCGCACTCGGTAAAAAAATGACTGCGTAAGTGGCATGCATTTTTCACATTGATTTTCGATGGTCTTATAAATTTAGATATAGTTTATAGAAAACATGCACGAAAATTTGCTTTCTCTCACTCGTTAGGTAGGGAAGCACATTGTCTTCGCATTTTTTACCCGAAGAAAAGGCATACTTAGGTTTTGAAAAATTTCCCCAGTCCCCGGATGGTTTTGGGCATGACCATATGTTGCGTTAGCGTTTGGTGATTTCAGTCTACAGAGTGCATACTTTCCGCGCTAGAAAAATAATATATTCCTCCATACCTTTAAGAAGATACCATATAAAGTTCACAAAATTTTACAATGGATGTGGGCTATTTTGTACATTTAACGAGCAGAATTGGTAAATGGACAGGTACGATGCTGTATGAATGGACATCGCACGGTCTTAAAAATTTCACAATTAGAAATTTTTTCAAAACCTAAAGATGCCCTTTCTTTGGGTATAAAATGTGAAAACAGCGTGATTCTCTACCAGAAGATCGAAAATAAGGACTCTCAAAAGCCGACACCCTAGCGAGTCCGAAATATCATAGAATTATGCCGTACGACAACCAATAGTACAACCCCACCTATGTAATCCATCCTAATCGAAAACGCATTTCAGAATTTCGGCCAACCTTCCATGAGATTAGTCAGTCACTGTATGCACTCATGCTGTCCAACGGATACCAAATTTATACCTTGCTTTATCCTTCAATGTGATCAAGAAACCCGAGGCGATCATCCGCCGTAGCTTTTACATCTGTCTGCTGCAGAGCACACTACATTCTTACATCACTTGCCTCGCAGCGTTATCAGCTCTAATACCTAGAGAACAGCTTGCTATCAGCCCAGAGTCTTCCGCTGTTACATGCTGAAGAACCCAGTGTATGAGGTAGTGAAGCGGAGCCGGTTGGGGACACAGCTCTGACCGACGCAGCAGTTGATATCAGAGAACTCACTCTCCTCATCATTAACACAAAGTCTGGTAGCTTTGATGACATACCATCATGTGGGAAAATGGCTGATCACCAGTCTCTGCTTTCGAAGTTCGGTTCAGAAGACATTTTGGACAACCAGCACGTATCCTTAAAACTCCTGCTGTCTGAACTGACGCAACTGCGATAGCAGACAGGTGAGAAGTAGACAATGCAGCTTAAGTCGGACCCGAAGAGGATTTTGGTTTTGTCAGTCTTTTTCGCTCGGGAGTGACGCGCACAGACTGCTGGAACCCTAGCCAGCTAGACTAGAAATGCTGATGACTGAAATACCTTCAAGTGAATACTCTGACTTAGAATTTGTCTATCCGAAGGAGCTGCACAGACTACATAATGCTCCAATGTGCCCAGCGGGGAAAGTGGGACCCCTTCGATGTACGAGCTGGACAGCTGTTGAGCACGGTCCTGTATTTCAGTAACCAGTCTAGACCACCTGCCTCCAACGGGTCTCTGCGTTTAATTCAACTTGTTGTAGTACTTACACGCCGCCTGCAACAACCTAAAGCAAAGACTTGGCTGCTTATCAGCAAAGATGGGGATGTAGACATTGAAAGGATGAAAGAATATTTAGTTTGAAAGGGGAGAGGAGATCACTGGGACAACTTTATTACATTCAGACAGCTGGGTTTGTTGTCCACTGTATTGCGCAGCAACTGAACCACCGCCTCCTCCTCGGAGACGAGAACGCGCACAGTGGTTTGACGAGAAGACAAACCGAGGTCGGCCGGAGAAGAGCCGACAACCGACAATGAAATCATGCCACATTGGCAAACAATCACGGCCTCTCTCATACTAAACAGATGGTGAACAAAATGGGTCAAAATGAATTATTCAAAATCTGCCAAAACACCTATTAATTATATTTCATGGGAAAAATGCACAAAAATACTCATTCTTTTGCTCCTTCAGTAGAAAATTACGTCTTTTTTCAATTTTACTCCCGCATGAAGGGTATCATTCGGTTTTAAAAAAAGTTTCTAATTGTGAGATTTTTTACTACCGTGAAGCGGCCGTTCATAAAACGTCATGTCTCTGCATTTACCCATGTGGCTTGTAAAATTAACATGCGGCTCAAATCCATTGCCTAATTTTATGAACCTTATATGGTCCCCCTTTATTACCTTAGAGGAATGTATGGTTTTCCGCATGCGGAAATTATACGGCTTGTAGTTGCGGAGCCCTGAATGCAAGTGTAACGGCAGGTTGGGTTCAAAATTATTCGGGAATTGGAAAAGTTTTATGAAACCAAATCATACCCTTCTTTCGAGTGTAAAATGAAAAGCGGACGTAATTTTCTACTGAATGAGCAAAGGAATGAATATTTTTATGCATGTTCTCCATGAAATATAATTGAATCTTTAAGGGCATCGAAAATTAATGAAAAGATGCATGCTTCTTAAGTAATCACTTTTTACAGCGTGTAGTGTTTCATGCAACCGGAAGGAAGTTCTTTCGAAAGCCGACATCCCGAGGTAACTGAAATATTATAGAATTATATTACAGGCTGACTAGTTTTACAACCCTACTTAAGTAATCTTTTCAAAACCGAAACGCATTTCGGAATTTCTGTTGACATTTCATGAGTTAGCCCACCTACTGTACATAGGCTGCACGATATGCCGTTGGGTCAAAATGAAATGGTGAACAAACAGGGCAACCATAACGACAAAAGATCGCCAGCGACGGAGCTTACAAACTCGGAGCATCCTGTGGAGCTCAGTTCGATTTTTGTACGGCAGAGGTTTTTTGGCGTTGGACGCCTATCAGCTAATAATATTCTAGTGGTTTCTGTCCCACCGCTCGGATTATCATCCCGACAGTCTTGCTATCATTCACTTAAATGTCGCATTAACAGTGGAATGCGCAAAATAGAGCCGTCATCTGGTGACAGGGTTTCTGCTTTGCGGTACTACTGACCGATCAGTTCATCCATCAACCATGTGAACCGTGTCTGTGCCAGTTTTCTTCCGCATCACTGTGTTATTCGAAGTATTCCTGGTCGGCGAAGGCACCAGCAAACCTGAAACGGCTGCGGTCTTTGTCTCCCCGATCTTCTTCGAAGTGCATAGTCGGAAGTGGAGATTGTCTTTATTCACTGTACCTCTCTTTTCTGTTAGCCCCGGAGTACAGTAACTTCCAAAGGGACATGATAACAGAAGCCATGACAGACCAGGATACCCACGTGAGGCCATACTTCTGCAGCGTTTGCAATGTGGTCTGCTCGGGTTTTGCCTGTTACCAACAGCACCTTGAGGGTACAAGACACCGTCGCAACGAAGCCCCTTCATCTCGCAAGTTGCCTTTGAGTTCTGCCTCTATCTTCTAACAGTTGCGCCCCTTTGTCTTCACACAAAGGCCTTTTCTTTGTTCTAGGCGAGATAATGTGTGCAATCTGCAATATCTCAGTAAACTCGGAGGAGCAGCTGAGTTTTCACCAGCACGGCACCAAACACCAGCGAAGAGCTGCCCGCCAGCCGCCGCCGCCCCCTCCTCCTCCGCCACCGCCGTTGTCGTCGTCGTCAACTAACCAAACCTCCACCGTCTTTAGGCACAGCCAGTTGCTCGGCTCCTCCAGCTGGTACCACAGTCCTCCCTCAAACGCCACTCTCCCCGGCACCAACACCAACAACCATGCCAGCAGCAGTCTCACCAATGACGCTGGTAGCAGCTTCCTAAATTCGGTGGACCATCAGGCACCCTACACTCTTTCCACCCACTCCTCCCTGCCAGACCTTATCTCCCTCCTACCTAGTGTCATGGACGACCTCAGCTCAGCGGCGGCGGCGGCGACGTCAGTTTGCGAGGGCAGTCGCTCCGTAGAGTCCGCCTCTGTGTCCACTCCTTGTTTCCTGACGTCTTCTGTGACTTCGCATGGAACCACCACCTCGTTGCAGACTGCCCTACAGTCTCTTCTGCAGGAGACCCTCCAGGAAATAGATCGACTAGAGCAGCAGCTAGCTCGCAATCTCGCGCGATATCGCAACTCCGCACTTCTTCACAGGCCGCTGCTGGCAGCTAGTAGGAGACGAGCCAGGAGAACGCTGGCTTCCGGCGAGACGGCAGCCACAAGATTTTCCTCTTTCCGCCTCAGTGCTCTGTATCCCTGCGGCAGCAGCAGTCTCATTCGTAAAGCAACGACATCACGGTCAGCGGTGACGAGTGATTTAGAAGTTCCACCCATCGATGTGGAGTTTTGTCGGCATACGATATGCATCAGCCTCCGAGCGCTGTTGGTATGTTGCTGTTCGTGTTCATATATCCATTCTCCATCTCTCTCCCACCCCACCCATCCGCACCTGTCAACGCGGGAGTTGCCTTGGACCAACAGGGGGTTCAGCAGGGGTTCTTGGGCTGTGTGTCCGTGGCAGATGCCGTACGTGTGGGGAGGGTGTATTGGCGCGCCTAGGTGCAAGCTCACGCCTCGCTAGCCACCTGCGCCCCATCTCTCCTCCGGCCTTCTTGACTGTCTTGACACCGGTCTGAGGAGGGAGGGAGTGCAGTATATGCGGCGTCAGCGACCGTCCCTGCGGCCACCTTGATGTGGGGTACACAGTAGACATCGTCGGAAACGACGATCGACCTGTCGTATCGCCTATTTCCTCTCCTCCCCTTTGCTGTTGCATTTCGTCCTCATTTAATAACTTCGTTTGTCCAACCCGGCTCAATTACAGCGTTGTATTCTTGAGGGGGAAAGGAAGCGGTATTTTGTTAATCGTAATCGGCGATTACTATCTCCATCAGACTGATCTGTTTGAGCTATTTCGGTCGATTTCTCCGTAAGACTTGGCTATTTTTAGATGAATGAGGCACGTCGGTGTTGGGGGTGAGTGAGTGGCAAAGACGAATTCCACAGTACTGGCCTCTCTAGCTTCCCAATCTCATGGAGTCCCAATGACAGGACTGGATATAAGATAAGGCCCAATGGCCTGACATACAGTACGTTGTCTAACTCGTGAAATGTCAACCGAAATTCCGAAATGCGTTTTCGTTTCGAAAAGATTAATTGAGTAGGGTTGTAAAACCAATCTGTCTGCAGTATAATTCTATACTAGTTCAGTTACCTCAGGATGTTGGCTTTCGATCTAACCTCCTTCCGGCTGCATGCAAAAACCTATACTCTGTAAAAATGACTACTTGAGCAGTATGCATTTTTCTCATTGATTTTCGATGCCCCTAAATGTCCAATTATATTTCATGGAAAACGTGAATAAAATATTCATTCTTTTGCTCATTCAGTAGAAAATTACGTCTTCTTTCAATTTTATACTCAAAGGAAAGGTACTATTCGGTTTTCAAAAACTTTTCTAATTGCCTAATAATTTTGAACCCGCTCTACGTCATACTTGCATTCAGGGTTTCGAGACTACAAGCCATGTGCTTTTCGCTTACGGAGAACCGCATATTTATCTACGGTATTGAGAGGAGACTATATGGGGTTCATAAAATTTGACATTGGATTTGATCCATATTGTTAACTTTACAAGCCAAATTTGTAAATGCAGAGAAATAGCGTTTTATGAACGGCCATTTCACGGTATTTAAGTCTCACTATTAGAAACTTTTTTAAACGGAATTATGTCCTTCCTTCGGGTATAAAATTGGAAGAAGACGTAGTTTTCTACCGAATAAATAAAAGAGTTAGTATTTTTATTGCATTTTTCATGAAATAAAATTGGACTTTTAGGGGCATCGAAAATCAGCAAGAAAAATTCATACTGCTTAAGTAGTTATTTTTTACAGAGTGTAGTTTTTGCATTTAGCCGGAAAGAAGTTCATTCAAAAGCCAGCATCCTGAGGAAACTGAAATATTGTAGAATTATGTTGCAGGCTGACTAGTTTTACAACCCTATTTAGTTAATCTTTTCGAAAAGAAAACGCATTTCGGAATTTTGGTTGACATTTCATGAGTTAGCCCACCTACTGTAAAATTTTCTTCCTGTGCCGCATCATGAGTTGTTCATTCGGTAACTGAGACGGCCTTCACACTAATTCAACAGTTTTGGGCAGATGCCTGCCACTCCTAGTTGGTTTCGTCCGCCACTCGGAAGCCGTCACTGAGGCGCGGCCTCTGCAACAAACACAAATTTGTGAAGAGTAGAGGCATTCTCTCTTGCAGCCAGACCCACCCCTCCTTGGGCACATCGTCGGTCACGACAGCTCGACCGTTGTGACCGACGATATCCTCCGCGTGCTCCACAGTGCAGGGTGATAGCAGGAGTGGTGACTTGCTCGCGAATTAGTTCGTAGTAATAGTGGACTTGCACAGTATTTACCGAACTCTCCTCCTCTCCCACCTAAGCCCGGCGTCATGACAGAGCCAAGAAGACTGGAGGCGGGAGAGGACGCGGGTGACTGGTACGCCGAGAATCCTCACCTAGGCGTACCGCCACAGCCCCTGGTCAACAAAAACCACTTGATCAGGATTTCCGTTGGAGGCGGCACGTCGTGGGCCTGCACCTGGGCTTGCCACCCTCCCCCCCCGAATGTTGGCATCTGTTATGTGTGCGCATTCCAAATAACGCCTGCCGGACCCCGGTCTAGTCACCCCCCATGTTGGTCCAGTTCATTTACCACGTGGCGCGTTTTAGGGGCAGGTGATAGATACACCACTACAACCTCATACCATCCGGGCCTTAATGTTTACTGGGTGGTAGCCTTGACGTGTAGAGGTCACTATGAAGGACACTCCGAGTATTCCTAGCGGAGGCTGTATGTTGGGTACGTGACGAAATTGACGTAATCCTGCAAGTGTATATGCATAACCATGCTCACAGTTCCGCTATGGTTGTGTCGTGGAGCGCGTTTTGTCAAGACTTAAAAAGCAAGAAACCAATCACAAGAGAAAGTACACTTTAAGCGACGAGGCGTTGTGCATCCTCTCTTGAAAATGGTAAAGAATAGTTTATTTATTTGCACCACCGGCCGACCCTCAGAGATATTCAAAAAAACAACATGACAGAGACCGTCTGAGGAGGTAAACTGACCAACCAGCCATACTGATCACCAGCAGCAATTAACCACGCGAATGTCGGCCATCAAACAGTCAACACACCAAGTGCAACAATCCCTGCTGAAGGGGGGAGTCGTGAATTTTCAGAGGTATGCAGTAGCCTGGCGACTGCATTCTATAAATGCTGCAGCCCCTTGTGCACGAACCACCCGTATCTGCTATTGTCTCTTGTGATGAGTTCTAACAGGAATCCGAAACGTCAGGCGAATAAAGCTCGTCTCAGCGATCCTGTCTTCTTCATATCGATGACCCTATCGACCTTGGTGCAGCCTCGAGTCGTAGGGTTGAGCTGGGTACGTCAGCCCGGTAGGTGGGGGGAGAGTTGGATGCGCCGGGTTCGCCACTTGTTTAGGTAGGATGGTCGACAACGTGAAGGTTCCGAAATCAGAAGGTGGGGAAGACAGTTAGGTGGACAATCTTTGATACGCGGCATCGCAAGCGGTGGCAGCCAGCATCCTCAGCAGGGAAATATCAGTCGATGTGCATACGCCCGAACTTCGCCCGGCCGCGGCCAATCGGTGGAGAGCGAAATACTCATCAGTGCCACGGCACCGCCAGCTGGAGGTTAAGTCATGCGTTTCAGGCGGACCGCAAGCTGCACTGATAAGTGATAGCGTGGTTGACCGTAAGAGGGGGCAGCTACACGCCCACCTGCAATTTGATTCCACCACCCCCATCATCTCTCGTGCTTGATCGTCGAACTGGCAGCAAAGCTGGTAGGATCATTTTCAGAGACTGTGAACAACAGCCGGAAGTGCCTGTTCTGCCTCCTGAACGGGAGTTTGATGACCGTGTAACGGGGTCTTCAGCTACTTGATACCTGTGGTTATGGAGGGGGGCGCTCAGCGTACAAATGGCGGATTTGGTGACCAGGCAGAGAGCTCAGGCCGATAAACTACTTCTTTTGATGATTGAATGAGAGAAAGACCACCCCGCTTGGCAGAGTTGTATTCATTAACGCCAACAGGTTTTGCAATGGCTTCCAGATTGCTGTCTGCGGGCGAAAAAGAGCATGTGGAAACACCTGGTGTTTGGCGTCTCATCAGAAGGGGAAAGTAAGTCGTCTAGACAGCACAATCCAGCCAACTTGAGAAGACATGCGCATGGACGAGGAAAGGGCACAAAGAGGGCATTTAAACGCGTAAGGTTTGCAGTAAGGGGCGCGATCTGGCATACTGAAAAATTTCAGTAATTGTGCCAGTTTTACGGCACGACCCGGCCGTTCGCACATTCATGCTTAACTTTTGCGAACTTCTGCCGACAGTTCTTCCGACCAATTACTTGAGGTCACTTAGCATTTCGGATGCCGTCGCAAACCCCCTTATTGTTGTTCTTACAGTCGTCAATAAGCACTACCTTTCTCGGGTCAGTGTGCTCATTCGTTGCTAAAAGGCCAGTCTAGTTGACTTCTCTGACACTGCTAACCTGACATAGGTGTGCCGATTGACCAACTACACTCGTCGTGGATTGACGCTCGCAATATTTTCCACGACGTTCACGCTCACAAGGGTGTCCGTCTCTTTCAGTTACTTTCTTCTAAAATGCTACTTTTTCACGGACAGTAGCAATTATTGTTACGCCTTTTGATAGGCGTCGTCAGGGTGAAGTGGGTCATTATGTTTGTCCAAATCTTTGCACCCGTACAGGAGTCCATAATCCTTGCAGTCTCTCACCACGCGTCATTCACGGTTCGCATTCCTGTCTAAAACCGGGATTGTGCCGTATGACGGGCAGAGCGCAACGACTCGTCACAGGATTACAGGGTTGTGCTATCAGAAGTCCAGGTCTTACGCGGCTCACCTTTGTTAGTCCGCGGACACTGTGAGCACCAACTTGGCATCACAAGTTTATTCGCCTCTACGGGTGAACTCAGCCTTCTTGGGGTTTCGACTTTTTACTTAAGGGAACATGAGGTTACTCACCCGCGGCCAATCGATCCTTTATCTGCCTATTTCATACTTACAGTTGTGGACCCTCAGCAGAAACCCATTGCTCAGACTGGCACTTGCTTGTTGCGCGATCAAAGCGCGCGTAAAAAGGATTTGAGAACTCCTTTTGCAGCTATGACGCTGGGGGGTAATCATGTGGGCGTCAGCTCCGTACAAAATGTTTTTAAAACATCGGTTTTACCAAAGTGTGTGTCTGCCAAGTCTCGCGCGGTCCCACCACCGGATCGACGGGCAGCATGACAAGGCGGGAGCAGACTGCCGACCTAGACCAATCGGAACGGCTCGTTTGTGATCACGTGTGCGTGATTCCAGCTCTCTCGTACGGTGTGTAGTTGCATGAGATATGGCGCACTACTCTAGTTTTCTCACCGGGATTTAATTGGGGGTTCTTGGTCGTCATGACGCATCTCCGCAAAGTAGCCAGTGTGCAGTCCCAACACCTAGTTCCGCGGCGATTTACCCGGTCGCCTCTGGAGCATTATTAACGTATCAGAAGACGAAGATTCGATCAATGGAACAAGAAATTTATTGGCCGGACGTTTCGGATTCTCACTCGAACCCAGCATCAGAGACAGTCGCAGATAAGGCTAATGGTGGCACAAGGAGTGCAGTATTTATAGCACGCGGCTGCCGTGGGACCATATGCACACTGTAACTAACAGCTCCCGCAATCACCGCTGTGGTCATAATTGATGCGATAGCGGCATGTCAGTCCGCGTCCGAGTCGTTAATTGCCGCGATTTTGCCATCCGTGTTGGATGCTGGTGTGACGACTGCCCGGCATATTGGCCTCCCACGTGACTGATTCCCCTGCCCACGGAGAATCTCAGCACGGAATACGGTAACGGGAGGTCATTGCGCATGTTAATGGATTGCGGGCCTGAGAGCAATGACTCGAGCAGCTCGCAGCTCACGCGGTTGTCACCCCTTGCGAGGATTTTGGCCTCTTTAAATTTGAAAATATGGTCGGGTCCCGTCGAATGAGCTGCCACTTGAGAGCTAACGTCTCCCCGTCTCAGTGCTGCTGCGTGCTCGACAATTCGCGTACGGAGTAATCTCCCAGTTTCTCCGAAGGAGTTGCTTTGTCTGCAATCGCACCAGATCCGGTAAATGACTCCTGACGTTTCCTGCCGTGGCAGTGAGTCTTTCGGCCTCATGACTTGGCGCCTGATGGTTGCTTCCGGCCGGTGTGCAACCCCAACTCCAAGTGGAGTGAGAAGACGACTGACGGCTTCCGAGACGTTCTTCGCGTACGGAAGAGCCCGCCAAAATCTGTGGCCAGTTGGTTTTGATCTCTGGTGTCGTTTTCGTATGCACCGGTTGACAAAGTTGCGCGGGTAACCACTGGCTCATTATCCGTCGAAGATATTGTAATTCAGCAACCTTGCCTTCCATTTCACTGCAGTGTGTCTCAATGCGCCGGTATAGCGCCCTTACGCAACTGCATTTGTGAATAATGGAGTGGTTAATGCTGAAGTTCAGTATGGGCGATAAACACAGATTTCTTGTTCTAGTGATCGCATCATCGTCTTCTAAAATGCTTTCTGGGACTCGCCTGTTCGCTTCTATCAGCATTCTTAACGTGCATGAAATATCAACTGAAATGTCGACCGAAATTCCAAAATGCGTTTTCGTTTCCAAAATATTAATTAAGTAGGATTGTAAAACCAATCATCATGTAGCGTAACTGCAATAACTTAGTTAGCCCAGGATACCGGCTTCCGAAGGAACTTCTTTCCGACTGCATGCAAAAATTACACTCAGCAAAAATGACTACTTAAGTAGCATGCACTTTCCTCGTTGGTTTTGTATGCCCTTATAAATTCAAATATATTTCATGGAAAGCATGCATTAACATTTTCATTCTTTTATTCATTCGGTATAAAGTTATGTCTTCTTCCAGTTTTATACTCAAAGGAAGGGTATAATTCGGTTTTCAATGACTTTTCCAATTCCCGAATAATTTTGAACCCCAACCTGCCGTTACACTTGCATTCAGGGTTTCCAAACTATAAGCCGTATATTTTCCGCGTACGGAAAAGCATACATTTCTATACAGTACTAAGAGGAGACCATATGTGGTTCATAAAATTTAGCAGCGGATTTGAGCCGTATTGTGAACCTTACAAACCACATTGCTAAATCAGAGACATGACGTTTTATGAAGGGCCATTTCACGGTATCAAAAAATCTCACAATTAGAAACTTTTCAAAACCAAATTATACCCTTCTTTCGAGTGTAAAATTGGAAGAAGACGTACATTTCTACTGAATGAGTAAAATAATGAGTATTTTTATGTATGCTTTCCATGAAATGTAATTGAATCTATAAGGGCATCGAAAATCAATGAGATAATGCGCTACATGATGATTAGTTTTACAACCCTACTTAACTAATATTTTGGGAACGAAAACGCATTTCGGAATTTCGATCGACATTTCATGAGTTAGCCCACCTACTGTATATCATCACAGGAATGTCTTCGGATCCTGCGGGCACGAACGCGAATGCACTGGATTATAAGGGTCTCCTGACAGCCATTCAGTATAAATTAATTGCGAAATTATTCGGTCTCGAATTACTTTTTTCCTCCGTGTTGTTTTTCTGGGACGCCGGTTTTTTTGCCACCAAGGATTGCAATCGCTTCTTTCTTTTTTTTTAACTTCAGAACTACCAAAATGGCCTAAAGAGGACAATCATACGCATTCGGAGAAGGTGCCTTGTTTGACCCTGACTGCCAAATTCTGAATTTCCTAATCTAATGCACAAGAACAATGTGTGCCGAGTTACTTTCATCCCCTACTATCATCCCTGTTTCTTACACTGACTGACCGGTTTTGGCGTCCTCACTTTACCTTGACGAATCTCCCTTTTGTCGACCGTTTAGGCCGTCTCTGCTCCTGTTACACCTTTCACAGCTGTGGGTTCTGTAAGTAGACCTTTTATGCACAATTT